CCAAAGAATATTTTGGGACTCAGACTACAATAGATTTGAAAACAGCATATATTAAAAGAGAAAATACAGTAAAGCATAGTTGATAAAACCTTTCAATAAACCGTTCAGAAAATATATATAAATGAAAAAAAAATGTTTAACGGATAGTTTAATATTGGATGAGTTGCATGCATTGCTTTAAACAGTTTTATCTTTGGGCCATTGCTTTATAAATTTTTATAATCCTACTTTTAGTTTCTTAGAATATTATTCATGTGTTAATCAAATATTTTTTTTATAAAATCGCAGCCAACAAATAGATTAAATTTTAAATTAAAAAATACTCAATTTTATGTAAAATTTTTTTTTGTTCCTAATACCTTGTCGTTTCATTTCAAGCATCCTGCAAATATATTAAAAATCAGATTTTCAAACAAATTTCTTGTTCTTCGCTATATAGCACAAACATTCTCGAAATATCGTAGTATTTCTGACGTTCACATGAGTAAAGGTATCGCCTTCCATTTTACCAGTATTTGGTCAGAGTAAAACAGAGAAACAACTTATACAATAATCTGAACGTCTTTAGAGGCTAGGAAGTTTAAAGGCATGAGATGAAGTGAAAGATTGCTTGCATCAATATTGAAAAAGTTTTTAGATATTATCCATATATGTTTCTCGAATAAATTCTTGAATCTTCAACTAATTGGAATGAGAAATTTTGGCATTCTTCGTCTATGATATGATATGATTGATATTCTATGACTTTATTTAAATTTACACAACCATTCAGTCAAAAAACAGTCGCCCTTCCATTTTCACTTGCGATTTTCTTGTGTTTATTCCGTTAGCACAGGCCCATTTGCTGCTTTAGTTGACGCACTGCGCTGTGCGAAAAACTTTAGCAAATGTATGGTGTAAACCTCCGAGCTATTCTCCTTTTTTATGCAGAGTGTAGGTACTGTTTTTAATACTTCTAGTTAAATCGTTGGTAGCAAGAGAAAAATCTGCCGACTCAGAAATAAATTAGGAAATTTCAATAAAAATTTCAATTAAAAGTCTTTAAATGCATCTGAAGCAACAATAAATGAAATAATAAACCAATATTTACAAGGCTGAAAAACATAATACTCCGTAGCTTTTGTCGAGACATGTGACTCAATGCAGAGCAGTTTGAAGAATCTTGTATAGAAACTATTTAGCAGGAAATAAATGGAAATACATAATTTTCTAGATTAAGCATGAGTTTACCTAAATAACTGAAAGGAATAAGAATCTGTTTATTATCAAAACGAAGAGCAAAGAATGTTAATTACTCAACATACTGTCAAGAAGTTTTACCTCCAATATTTACAGAAGTAATTCCATTTCTTTATCCCGGTGACTTTCAAAGTTTGAAACGTCATCAAGACAAAGCAAGAAGTTATACTTCTAAACGTAAACTGCATTCCTTGAAGAAGCAAAAGCTGATACTGATATTGCATATATACGTTTTCAACGTATTCCTGCGAAGTCTCCTGACGCTTATTGTGCGCTTGGTCTCCTGAAAAGAGCTCTTTCTAAGCGCAAACCCACCACGATTACTGGATTGGGAAAAGCAGTGTAAGAGTAAAATGAAAATCAATATTGTTGGAACTTTAACGGAAAGTCATTCTATCATGGAAATTATGACACTGACTTATGGTCCCAAAAAAAGCTGTCAGAAACTTTTCTGAAACTTTCGCGTTCCCCCCTCTATATGATACTCCTCAAATGCACTTTAAAGACATGCATTCAGTTACAATTTATTATTACATCCCTATATTATTAATTTCTTAAATTAATACGCTTAAATGAATTAATTAATTATAATCATCGACTAATCAAAGCACTAATTATTAATTTTATTAGCAATAATTTTATTTTAATATTTATATTTATAATATTATATTTTAATTATTTGTATTATGTTTAATATTTTATTTGTAATTTTAATTGAAATTTCCTAATGGAAGATTTCTTTTACTGTTAAACATAGAGCAACTACTTTTCAGTTTAGATAAATTAGCAAGAGAAAAGCAAAAGCTTATTTAGAACCCTTTAGCTATGAGAAAAATGAATTTAAATATAATAAGTAGAACCCTGTTCAGAGCAATACTTTCTCTTTGGACTTTTTTCTCTACTTTCTCCGTTCATGAGCAGCTATATGTGTATAGGTTTAGCGAAAAACTGCAAATGTTACTGTGTTTATATACTAAACGGTTTAAGAAATGTAATTTATTGGCAAAAAATGTCATTTATTCAGAAACTAAACTCAAATTTAGTTTACTTTGTAAGTAAATTACATTTTGTTTTTTACCGGTAAAATCCCGCATAACGACTGCGCTACAAAACAGACTCCCTAAATAATATTTTAATATTAATATCTTAACGATTGCATATGGTAGTTCTGCACAGTGCGCAATAATGATCAGACATGATGTAGTAGAATGTCTACAGCTTCTATTTGAAATACTTTTATTACTTTCTTTTGAAAACCCTGTGGGTAGCTACTAGATCCGACATTTAACTGCCCATACAAGAAATACCAAGATATCGTAAATGGCATGCAAAAGACATCCAAAATAAAATTTATAAAATTTGACAAAAAATGGGCTATCTTAAAAGGCTTTCTAAAAATCATTAAGCCTGTTCCTCCCTCTTTTTCCCAAGCCTGTTCTCTCACATTTTCCCCTCTTTTCCTTGAATATATTTCAACTGTTTGCAAAGAAGCGATTCCTCAACCTGGAATTCTAACTGATGTGGTCTTTCTAGATTCCAAACTTCCTATACGAAAATTTTGCAACTTATTTTTAGCTAACATTGCCATTTCTACTCAGCAACAAGAGTTGCTAAATGAATGAAACGATAAAAAAGTGAGTTTAAGAACAAAAATATTTTTGAAAACTTTTTTAAGATTGCCTAACATTTTTGTTTTAGATTTATAAATATGTTATTTTTTAAATGATCAATTATTAAAATTATACTGGAACTACATATTTTTATTTACATCTCGTTCGGAATATGCACAGCAGTATTTTGCAACAATACGTAGTGGATGGAAAACCACAAGCGGCCATGAATAAAGTGGCTCGGTAATTGTCGCAATTTAACGTGAACGATTATTGCACTGGAAGACAGTAGAGGAGTTCGGACATATGCCAAGGCAGAGGCGTTAATAAGAAGAATCGAGGTCAATTTCACATAGACAAGAATGAAAAAAAAAAAGGAGGGAAATCGATATTTATTTATCGCAACGACAGAGATATCAAGGACACTACGTTATATGATATATCATTTACTGTCTGCGAAGATTGTATAAAATCACATGTAACACTGAACAAGCTTATTAAATGTAGTATTAAATACATAGTAAACACTTAAAAGCCTTTAGAAATTGTCTCATATCAACAATGATTGGCAATAATAGACATCAATTAATTAATATTAATTACTTAGCTTCATTAAGTTCGTATTCGTATTCATTAAGTAGCTGAGTTTAATAGACGGCGTTCTGTGTAGTTGCAAATAAAGTTTTAAACGTGTCAAGTAAAATCATAACGGACAATTAATTAATTAATTAAGGCTAAAATAATAATTAAAAATTAATAGTAAAATTAAACTATTTAAGCAATTTGAAATTTGCATTTAAAATTTAAAGAAAAATATTTTTATAATTGCTTTGATGATTGTCTCAACAACGTAATAATAACATTCTTCTTACAGTGATTTAGTCAAATTTTGAAATTTGCGTCTCTATCTGGCAGAAAGATTTCCCTTTGTCTGTTTAGTCGATCTGCCACTTCATGATTGCAAGCATGATCATGAGCGTTGCTCATTTCATCAATCTTGCTTTAAAATATAACCTAATGACTCTACAGTGGCGCCCGAACTAAAAATGTGGTGGATGATTATTCGCCATACCCAGGATTTGGCGATTGGGTGCCATAAAAATCTCAGTCGCTCTTTAAAAGAGGGAGTATATAAGGTATTTCTCCCGCCTTCTTAGCATGCCTTCGTAGTGTGTTGGTCTGCACGCTGGACGCGTATTCCAGAGGTCCGCGCTTCGATTACTGGCTTCGAAGGTGTTACTCATTTTTCATCTTGCCTGCTTCCCAAAAAATACCTAATGTCTCCACAGTGGCGCTCGAACTAAAAGGGTGGCTGATGATGATTCTCCACACCCAGGATTTGGCGATTGGTCCCAGTCGCCCTTTAAAAAGGGAGTGTATAAAGGTATTTCTCCCGCCTTCTTGGCATGCCATCGTGGTGTGGTGGTCTCCATCCTGGGCGCGTATTCCAGAAGTCCGTTGTTTGATTCCCGGCGGGGGCGTTGCTCATTTTGAATCTTTACTGGTTCCAAAAAATCCTAATGTCTCTACAGTTTAAGAAACGACAGTTTTCCATTGATTGCTAAGAATTTTTGGGGGAGTCTAGAAATCTGAGTATACTAAGCAGCTGAATTTTATTAACCAGTGAGTTTTATAAGCGGCAAATACTATTTTGATATTTCCTTTGTACCTCTTTTGAACAGCTGCTCCATTTTCATCTGCAGTCTTGCAGATAAATGCATGTTGGAAACCTACGCTTTCGGGTAACGAAGATACCCCTCAAAATCAGCACAGGCAGTGACAATTCAATGCCAGCACAACGCTTTTATCTTCCTCTGAAAAGCGCCCTGATATTTGAAGGATATTTTATTTAATTCCATTATGAATTAATTTTAATTTTATTTAAGTTAATAAGACAGTTGTAAATAACTCTGACTTTTCATAACTTTAGGTGGGGAATAGTGACTGCAGCTCATGTACTGGCATCATGTCGCGCCATACAGAAAATCGTCTAGTGTTTTTAGGTATATCATGTTTTAGATAAAAATTTTAAATGTAGAATTTTAGAAACCAAGCGCTTTTCATTTTATATATTTTTGACAGATAATGAGAAATTTGTTATTTATGCTTTTAATATTAAGTATTAATATGAAAGTCTCTAAGCATACTTACCCAACTACTTTACCATGTTTTCTTAGATTCAGTACCAGTTCATGTATTGGCTGTCATTAAAAATTGAGAATTAGTAAGGCGTTTCAGAGTATGAAATTTTTATTGCATAGAAATATAATCAATGAGGTAACTGACCTTGTAACACATGTTGCGAGTTAAAGTTATGATGTCATCTCGGGGAACATAAGTTACTCCACGTTTTTTCCAGTAGTCGTCATTTTTCCTGTAATACCTACAGAAAATATTAAGCAGAATAAATTTTAATGCTTGTAATTATATACACAGCACTTCTGTCATGATTGTGGAATTAATTTTCTAAACCCTAATTGCAAAAAGCGACATAAATTTTACAACTTTATAAAAACCCTGATCAAATTTTACGACTTTTGAACAAGAGGAGAGGATTCTGAATGAGTTTATCTTATAATAAATATTCAGGTACGCGAAACATTTTTTAAGAGTTCAGAAATTTGCTGACAGAAAAATCAGAGGATTTTAACGTTAAGAAGACGATTAACTTCTCAGATGCTGAAAATCAAGCTGTCCTTTTTCCTAACATATACACGACGATTTATAAGATGGTACAATTAAATGTCGCGTGTATTATTAAGTATTTAAGTTTTTCTGAAACAAAATCTGATGTGTACACCACATGACTTCCTTGTACGGAATATTAAATTATACGCATTTTTTCTTGCATTTCATTTAAACTTATTAGATTGAATTAAACCTACTTCGCCGACAGCGCATAGACCACAATAGAATAAAAGCATTCTTTAAAATTCTTTTTGTTTACCATAGCGACACTCTGGTGCTAGGTTAATTAACATTATTATATTTCGTTCATATTATAACTATGTCTATGTCTTATCACTTAGTATGAGGCAATCAACCATTAACGGCCTTTACCAATATATGATACTTGACTTTTAAATGCTTGAAGAATCGAGTAAGTTGTATCCAATAATATGGAAGTACTTGTACACATGCTGTGCTAGAACTCAGGGATTACTAGCGACGGAGGCTCCTGTGCCGTCATCCGTCGAATAAATAAACTTGCTCGTGTGGCGCCATCTGTTAGTAGGGAAAATGAATAAACAAATGAGGTGCTCGAGTGGCGCCATCTGTTAGTAGGGATCAAAACCATTTTAGTTGACTGCAGCTCTGGTTGCGCCATCTCTTTCAATATGTATTGTAAGGCATTTTTAAAATTTCATATAAAGTGTTCTTCTGATATATTATAACTCAGAATGCACAAAATTTATATCATTTGAAGAATTATCTAATTGTTGCCACATGTTTTATTCAAATACTATAATAAATCAAGAACGATGTCTAAAAGAAATTAAGCAAACAAAACAAAAAAGAAGCAGATTTTCACAGACGATTCAATATTTCTCATTCAATTAATTCAGCTCTCACTTCGCGACAAGGCAAAAATACATAAAAACTCAGAATAACTATATTAAAAATTACGAAGTAAATCTTAAACACTTATTTCATCGAAAAAAATCCAGAAAGGATTAAGCATGATTTAATTCGCAATAATAAATGAAGGCGTTATTTTTGTTGTTGCGAAACTTAGTCTCTCTAGATTGGCAACAAATGTACTATTCTGCTGTTACAAATGTAAACAAACATATCCGCCATGTTATTTAAAAATTAGGCTTAACCGCACTAAAACAGCTTTTAAATTATTGATAATTCTACAAATATTGCTTGCAGATTTCCTAAAGGCATAAAAACCTTAACCGGAAGAAAAGAACAACACAATTAAGATAAGAACAACGGCCGCTGGTGGGCCCTTCAATTTTTTTTTTTTTTTTTTAAATTTATTTTTTTTTTTATTTTATTTTATCCTTCTCTTTGATATGTCAAGTTTATATTGTCAATTCAAATCTAACGGTGCCAACAGGCAACTTTGACGCATATATTAGTGATTCCAAAAATTGAGACCACGCAATTCCAGAAACTGAAAATTGATAAATGTAATTTTTAAAACACACGATACGAAATAGTAAAAATAAAAAGTAAAAGTAAAAATCTTGGTTAATAAATAGTAAAACTAAGAATTCAATCAATGAGGATTGAGATTAATAGTACCTTGGTGGCTAATAAATTAAAACAATTAAAGCAAAAAATTAAAGCTTTTGGATCAGAAATATTATTAACCCATAGACAGTTAAATAACATAGAAAAAATGTAGAGCAACATATGAAAGCAGATTCACGTCTTTTTGTTTGGAAAAATTATCCTCCTGAAATGGTTTTAGTATTTTAATAGCTTATGTAAACTAAATTAAATGGATAACAACTCTCCTTGCATTTTTTAAAATTAAAGATCATTAAAGATTGGTAAAAAATAACTTTGTATTCATATCTAAATTTCAAATTTTGCTTGCCGTGAAACAATGCAATAACACTTGGAGATAACAGCAATGATAACAATCTGACATAAGATGAGATAAGTATTCTGCTATTATATTTTCGGTTGTGATAACATTTCTACATCTACTTTAACAATTAGAAATTAATCAAGGTCAATAAAATACTTCTTTGTGGGCATTTTAGAAATCTTCAAATTAATTGTTGTGATACCAGGACAGTAGAAATGTTTATATTTACATTATTACGATTATTATGAAGATTACAAACAAAAGTTAACCGACTAAACAAAAGTCAGCTTCATTTTATGCCTATGTTTTCCGTGCTCTTCAAGTTTGCTCCTCCAAACTAGCCCTTGATGAAGAACTAAATTATTTAAAAGCAATAGCTATTGACAGGGGCTTTTCACCCAACATTATTAATCAAGCAATTAAAAAATTCTCATCTCAACACACTAAAAGGCACACTCTTGTTCTAGGAGATTATAAAAATTCTGTTGTCATTCCCTTCTTTCCATCAATTAGCTATAAAGTTGCACATATTTTGCAGAAATTTAACTTTCGGGTTGTTTATTCTCCCATCAATAAAATTCCGAGTTTCATACTCAAGGACCCCATTCCGGATATGTATTCCTGGGATATTTATAGGATTCCTTGCCAGTGTGGTTTAATTTACATTGGTAAACTAAGAGAGCCTTAAAATGTCGCGTCTAGGAACATGAGGCATATGTTAGAAAAAAGGAAACACAGAAGTCTTCTGTTGCTCAACATTGTTGGTCCGAAAACCACACTTTCAATTTTTCTGCTGCCAAAATTATTCAAAAAACATCTTCCATTGGGGAACTGGATTTTCTAGAGGCATTTCACATTCATAAAAATCTTTCTGTTCTAGATAACGATCCTAATTCCAATCCAAATTTGCCTTCGGTCTTTAAAGAAATTATGTTTTAGTTCTGGTTTCACCAACAGATGACGCCACTTGCTTATTCTTGTCCAGGCTTTCTTATCTTATCTAATCATTATTTACTATCTTGTTCATTTGCGGTTTTGCAGCTGAGAATGGTGGTTCGGTAAAACCATCGAAACTAGTCCTGTGAAAATTTTGTAAATATAACGCTGATTTCTGTTGTTTGACTTCTGAATTAGTACTTATTCGGCGTGTTATTGTGTCTTAATTATAGAAGCCCCAAACAGGCTTATTTTTTGCTTTCTTTTTTGCACGTAGTGTGGCCGCCATTTTGTGATTGCTTGAGTTTCGGTAAGTACTTTTTTGCAGTTTTCAAGTTATGTGTATATTTTGTATATTTGGATATTGTGCTTTGCTTGTCTGATTTCATGCATTTTGCTTACAAACGTTTTGTTTTCTATTCATTTCAGTGAGGAATTTTTTGTGTGGGCTTTATTATTGTTTAGTTAATTTAGTTTGATTTTCTGCATTGTTTATCATGCCTTCATCCGTTAATCGTTTCACTAAATTACGCCTGAAACGGCAAAAATTCCTGAATCATCTTAACTTTTTACTTTAATGTAAATGTAAAAATTTGATCCCCAATTTTATTCAATCAAAAACCTTCGAGTCAAAAAATCGAATCAAAAACCTTCGAGTCGCCTTTCAAGAATTCTGTTAAATTGCAAGCTTGCCTTACTCCGGTCCGTAATAAGGGATGCACGTCAACAATTGTCCAAAATTGAACATGAACTCTATAAGCTTCATCTGGAACTCGCTAAATCATATCCAAAATTCACTGCCCTTGAACAAAAGTGTTGGTCTAGAACGGAGAATGCTGTTAACCGTCATAAAAACACTCTTGGCTTTAAATTCGAAAAACTTCTTTTACAATCTTCCAGTTCAAGCAGTTCAAAAAATCTTCCCATTGTAAACATCAAGCCAATAGTTAATATTTCTAATGTTAATCTTTCAGAAAAACAAGAGAGAATTCTAAAATATAATTTTAACTTCTCACAAACCTGTAAACCCTCGATTCCAAAGATTTTGGCTCCTATCGAAAAAGCTTTCAAGTTCAGAAAAGTTTCAGATTCACAGAAAGAAATGATTAGGCATCTTTTTGCTCATAATGTGAAATTCAATAATAAACCTTTAAAACCAAATCTAACTGCGAGAGAAAGAGTTACAATGGCGAAATTCATTCTAACCCGGATATTATCCATTCAAAGGCCGACAAAGGTGGCCAGATAGTCGTCATGGATAAGAACACTTACATCGATGGTGTCACTAAACTCTTAAACAAAGGACCATATAATCCGATCCCTAAGGATCCTTCACCTTCGGACTTGTCAAAAATAAAAACTGCGATCAAATCTTCGCAAATCATTTCAGGCAACTTAAAACATTTGCTTATCCCATCTGTTGCGAATTGTGCCAGATTATATGCTCTTCCCAAAATTCGTAAAAGTGGTATGCCTTTCCGCCCTATTGTATCAAATTTAGGTACTGCCTCGTATCCATTAGCTAAATATTTAGTTTCTAGATTTTCAACTGTATTAGACAATAACATTTACACCATAAAAAATTTATAGAGTTTGTAAAAGAGGTTAAAAACATTTCTGCTAGTAATTTACTCACGGTTTCTTTTGATGTAAAATCATTATTCACCAATGTCCCAGTGGAGGGTGCATTAAGATGTCTAGAAACCAGACTTCACAAATTTCATTTCTCTTGCATCGAAATTGATGAGCTAATTTCTCTCACTCAACTCTGTTTAAAACAAAACCATTTTGTTTTCCAAAATAAATATTACAAGCAAACTGAGAGATTAGCCATGAGAAGCCCCCTCAGTCCCATCCTGGCTGATATCTACATGCGTTATTATGAATCAAAATTGTTTGAA